TTAAAATGTATACACCCCGGCTTATCATGTAGCGGTAGCTTTCGGAAAGGTGGAAAACATATATTTAATACTTGCGCCGGGTATTTAATGTTCGGCTCCGCCCGAACTTAGACTTTCTTACTTGTTTGTATTAAAATAGTGTTACTGTGATCCTATCTCCATTGTAATGTTGCGGAATGCGTGTGGATATGTACTATTTTTGGGCAAATAATGTGAAAAGTTCATTTATTTAATTTAATTTTTTCTATATTTGTGTTTGTAACCATATATGTAATACTTCTATATTGGTAGTAAGCTAACATCTCAATGTGTAAGCATTCCGAAATCAAAGCGAGACAGTCTAGTACTGTTTTTGTCAATATATTGTGTACTTGAGTGTCGGTTTTGTAAATGTGTCGTGTACATGTTTATTTATAAACGTATGTGTTCCTTTTCTTTCGTACGTGTTTATTGATATATCTGTACTGTAGTATTTTTGGACGGTACTAGCTCTTACTGCCAATATCGGAGTATTACATATATGTTTGTAACCGTATCCAAGAGCTACGAAAATAGAGTAAAATAATTACAATTTTGTATTTACATACATAGTTAATTGTTGCTTATTCGGAGACCTTGCATCTGTAGTGTTGCATGTATTGCATTCCTTAAGAGAAGCAGAATGCTCAACGCACACAGGATTTCGAAAAACAAAACAAGAAGGACGATTACCACGTGGTGCCAATGAATGCGCAGCTTCTGTGTTCGACGGTGATATCTGTAAATAAGGAAAGAATAGGAAGTAAATATTAACTATGTAATGTATTAGTTTCTGTTGTTTTATGAACACTTGCCATTACTTGGAATGCTTGCATAGCCGCACGTATCTTCGGCTAGCAGGCACAACTACATTGTTGAGCACTCGAGTCTTTAAAAAATAAACGTCGTCTATCGGACTAAGAAGTAATTATCACTTCACTACGCATAATGAATGAGGGAAATCCTGCAATATAGACGATGTTGTAAAACACAGTAAGGAGCTATTGTTTTGTAGAATGTTTACACGATTAGGTACCCAACATTTGGTTCATAGTAATCGACACCGCATATCAGCTGGCTTTTTCTTTGGGTTGAAATCAACTCGGATGGTACTGTTAATGCCGCAGAAACGATTCTTAAGCAGGGGTAACACGATTTGTACAATTGTACAGATTTGTACATTTTACAGTTACATAATGGTGTTCCTTGGAAAGATATTATTAAGCTGAACTCATTATCGATACAATTTTCTAGACAAAACCTCTCTGTGACTGCCAAATGTACAAATCGTATGATCCCTGCTTAAGCCATTGGTTTATACAGAGGCAAATGCGTATCACTACACAATTCCATCAAAAGCTCAGAATTGGACCAATAATAACCAGATAGCATGATACCGAGATACGCGTGGAACTGTTTTATCGCCAAAGGACTTCATTGCCTTGGTTGTTCTCTTCTTCTTCTTTTTATTTGGCCCTGTAACCGCCTTTCTTTCCATCGCAGTGGGGACCTCCGTCTTCCCCTGATACCACGAGCGGCTTCCGAGAGGAATAATTTCAGAGCTGGAACGTCGGTGTCCATCAGATGCATCATCGTATCAACAATCAATGCCTACTATAACAAAATAAGAAGCGCAACTTCCAATTTCCAAATTATCAACCGTATCACAGAACTGTGAATGAACTTGATCAATTTAGTCACTAGATTTACATAATCGGTTAATACATTTCTAAAAGCATTCAAATATACATACCTTCCTCGTTCCTTTCTTACGCCTGGCATTAAAACACGAACAAATTACAGGAAAATAACTGCACACTCAAGAAACAATAATAAATTACATGCAGATCTCTAGAGGGTCCCTGCGGACCGTGTCGGGCATCGGCGCCATAATGGCTTCAACCCGGTGATTATGACGATCGATATCTTGAAATCATTTTGGAGGCTATTTTAATAGATTCTAGACATTCCATTTATGGACGTCACGAAGGCTGCGGCAGTTAGGTCGAACCCGATTACAATGCATCTTCATTGAAAACATCATAGGTCCCTGCGGACCCTATCGGGCATCTGAGGGTTAAATTTCAACTTTTTCTAAATATTTAAATCTTATTTTTACGTTTTTTACGATTTGAAAGGCATTAAAACAATACACTTTACGTTCAATGAAGATATGCTTCTAGCCATTACGAGTAATACATTCATACATACACTGAGCCAAAAGCAGAAGATGATCAAACCTCGAAGAAAATTTATCCAAGTTCAACATTTGAGGGTAAATTTGCAGAACGGCTGTGGCTGAGTGTGCAGAGATGCTTCCTGTTATTTTATAACTTTCAGAAGGTGCGGATTTAAGTCCCGTCAAAGACAAGATGTTAAAATCATGATAAACATTTCCTTTTGTATCTCCGAATTATGAAAAAACATCTGTGAAGTGCAGAACATAAGCGTATTCAAACGAAAAAATCAGCTACCAAAAATTCTTTTAATGTAAACTAAAGTGTCTTTAATATTACCAAATCATGGTTGGTAACGTTAATATCAAACAAAAATCACATTAAATCCTTTTCAGGTTTGAATTTGGTAATATTAACCAATTTTTGGTTGATTTTTTCTCAGTGTTTCTATTCAAGAGAAAAAACTTCCATGCGCTTCTCTTCAAAAACAAGAAGAAATTCAGATTTTTATCAAATATTTATATCTCAGTTATGCATACTTACAGCCAGATTCACCAAACTATTTAAGTAGAAATTAACTTTAATTTAATTTTTTATTTAAATCTCATTTTAATTATTTTCAGTTTCAATAAACTATTTATTTAAGTGAGTAAAAAGTGGTTGTAAAACAGACTAGGACTAGCTTTCGCGTTCATTTGTACTGAGAGCTTTTGAAAGCTTTGGCACGCTGTGTTGTAAAAGCAGGGCTGGTATACAAGTAAGCAGCAGATGCACAATGATCAGGTGATTAAACGTGTAACACCTCTGAGTGTGGTTATTCTGATTTAACTTTTATTTAAGGGCACAGCATAGGTCACTTAAATCAAAATTAAAATTGATTGGTGGAACCGAAATTAAAGTAATTTTCACTTAAATAATTTGGTGAAACTGGCTGTTAGCGTTGCATGAGAGTTGTCACATAAGGAATCTGTTAAATGGGCTTTGCGTGTAAGCGGTTACCCAATGCATAGCACTTCACATGTAGAATTTTGGTGAGTTTTGATTTTTACGTAAAAATGGTATAGCAGTGCAACGTACGCATAACTGAGCCTTTTGATAGTTTCAATGAAGTTGTCAGAACTAAATCACTCGTTTATAAGCAACTCTCTCACACACACACAACATATGAACCCTGCAGCAAAACTTAAAGAAAGTCTGGCAAAGCGCTAGTTCCGCAGTAGATTTTTCAGAACTGTCTCTGAACTACTGCAAAGCGGCGTAAAATTTTCTCACATTGAGCATGTGAAAGCTGTGAAGTAATAATAAAATTATAGTTTAAAAAACTAAAACTTCCCTATTATAATTGCCATTCGTACTGTCATCAGGTATGTAACTTGAGAATAGAAATCGCTGCATATTTTAGGTGCATCAATATTACATAGTTACATCCCGAGCTAATAAAAGGGAGGTAAAAATACAAATTTTCAGTTGTCGTAGCTTCGCGAGAAGACCTCCGACCAAGAGGAATCTGTACAAGGTGGTGTTACTACTGGCGAACTTATATTTTCACCGCGGTACTTCTGAATGTCAAAATGATATGTTTGGTGTAATATGAACTCGTCTTGTTTACAACAAACACATCATTTTGACATTCAGAAGGACCGCGGCGAAACACAACCTTGTATAAATTCGCCTTGCATCCGACTCTAACATCGTTGGCCGCGACTTAAAATCGCGGTGGATGCAGTTGTGAGTTTTCTGATTTACTGCTTTTAAATTGTTGTGTGTCGCTTAAGAATTGAGAAGAAAAATATGAAAGTTAATAAAAGTAGAAAAATAAGTAAATAAAATGTGTAGAATAAAATAGAATGTGTATAAGAAAAGAAAAAACGAAAAATATATATGTACAAAAATCGAATCTTGATCATTTTTTCTCATAAAAACGCACTTTCTCAGATCTGTCCAAAATGCAACCAGGCCACAACGAATTCAAAAGTTCTGCAGAGGGGGGCAATTTCCACTTCGTATGACATCGCCATTTAAAAAAAGAAATTTGAAAGGATTTTTTAGGATAGATGAGGAACCACGACCGTCCCTTTTCAAGCTAGTTTCGCGATAGTTCTGAACCAGCTTGATTTGCTGCAGGGAAACAATTTAAATAACTGAATTATGAACGTATCGACATTACAGATAGGGAGCCTTTGATTGCTTTTAGAGGTTCAACTATTGATGACATCATCTATACCCCTGTCACCACTTACTGGCGACGTTTTTCTTGAAATACTTGTATATTTTCATATTACATGTTAGATTCTTTATTTTGATTTTCTGCAGATTGGCACTTTACCGTGACATCTAATCCCTAAATGACGTTTGGGCTAAAAGCAATCACAAATACACAGATTGTAGGCTAAGTGCAGAGGTATACCTGAGATCTTATATGTATGAGTACACACATCCATCGAAATCTACGTTAAGCTAGTACCAGAATCGACGCACCACAAGATACAAATTAAATATATTATAACCAAAAAAGAAAAAAAGAAAATGACTGCTACAGAGTGCTGTCACTGAGATTTAAAAAAACATACCGAACGACAGCTGTGACAGCTGTCACAATTGATAAACTCTTCAACTTGCGTACTTTCAAATCTTGTGCAATACCTGCATGTTTGTCCCCATCTGTGTCACAATGCAAATGCCTGCGTATGTATGTTTGTTTGTAT